TGAGTAAAATATTTAAAATAATACCTAGCAAATGGTATAACTATAAACTGTTATAATACTTGGAGTGGTGTTTTTTCCCACATTTTCCATTAAAAGTATATGTGTATTGGTTAAATTTTCCCTTTAAAATAAGGGGGTAAGACTAAAAAGAAGAAAATTTTAGTATTAGTATTACTAATACATGAAAAGAAAGACTTTAATGGTAGGAGAACAGAATTAATTGAAATACAAAATAGGAATAATGAAACACAACAAAAAGAATTCCTTCCTAAATTAAAAAGATCTTTTGTTTTTAAGTTACATTCTTTAGTTGCTAACAAAATACTAACAAGTGGCTGGGACTGGAGTAGATTAAAAGAAGTTTCATTTTGGATGTGTGATTTATAGCCTATGAGAAAAACCATGAATCCATCTGAAAATCCAGATGTGGGTCAGTAATGTGAGGCATGTAGGCCAGTAAGTTCCTTTACAGACAGGATCATAAAAGCTCAGAATTTTACTCCTAGTAAAAGCCTCTAGGAATTTGTGAAGTTCATTTTCATTCCAACAGAAAAGTGACAAATCAAATTGTAGCAAGGCAAGGAAAGCACCTCCTCCCTCCATTCTTGGCTCAGTTAAGTCCCCAGGGCCCTCAAAATTTTCAATTCCATCCAAACACTTAACAAGCATCTCCCACATGTATGGCCAGACTCTGTGTTAGAAGCTTAGAACTTACAAAGAGTACATACTCTGTAACCTCTGTAGCTGAAAAAAGAGAGCTTTGTTGTTTTAAAAAATGGAACACTTACTGCTCATGCTCAATTTTTATTAAAAAATATTTGTTGAATGTCTTTCTGAATACATTTAGGTATGAAATAATAATTTAATAAATATTAATAATTTGTATGAAAGGAACAGGAAATTTTTTATGTTTTTTACTTTACTACTTTGAATTACTTTCAGATACATCATCATTTAGAGTTTTGGCAAAAATAACAGAATATTTATAATTCCATTAGTATTGCATATTAAGACATTGGTCAAAATGATAAATTTTAAGAGATTGCTTTTTTAAAATTTCATTTTTATTCTTATTGATGTAATGTATGTGCGCGCGTGCACGCACACATAAATACCTGCCCCTGACATCTGCTTTCCTAATCCCCACTCCCCCAGAAGCAGCCACTTGCAATGATGTTATGTTTCTTCTTGTGTTTATTTTCATTGTTTCTAAATAATTTACTCTTGCTTTTTAAAATTTAAACCATATCTATGATTCCTACTCTATGAGATGAAAACTTAACTCTCATAGCCATCCCCCTCACCCTCTCACATGCAAACATAGTCATCATGACCCTCCAAAGGTACCAAAGTCTACAGATGCTCCCTTGTATAAAATGGCAATGTATTTGCATATATGCTATGTATATCCTCTTGTACACCTCGTCCTCTCTATATTATTTATAATATTTAATACACTGTAAATGTTATACAAATAATTGTTACACTGTATTGTTTAGGGCATAGTGAGAAAAAGTCTGTACATGTTCACTACAGGTGCAAGTGTTTTTCAAATAATTTTAACCTCTAGTTGGTTGAATTGTAGATGCAGAATCCAAACACAGAGGCCCCACTACAAACTCACCTTCTGTTATTCTAGATCTATACCATTCTTTACAGCTTAATCAATATTTATTGTTTATATTTTATGACTATGTAAAATAATGCTGGGTAGACTAATTTGTGTGTCCTAGTTTCATTCTCGTCTATAATTATTTTTGTCATGGAAGAGTTTTCTCATTTAGTTCAATTGTTGGGTTCACTATTTAACACTGACCCATTCCCCAAACCTGACAGAGCTGAATTCTAGCTCAACAGGAAACTCTAGAGCTCTGTCGCTCGCTCTCTCCTCTCTCTCTCCCCCCCTCCCTCTTTTTCTCCTTCCCTTGTAGACATGATTGCTGTAGCCTTTGTCCCTTCCCCTTGCTTTAAATAGGACCAGTCAATTTAGAAATCAGTCACAGCATAATTACCCTAAAAACTGCCTTCACCTGTTTCCTATGTTATAAATCTTGTCTCCAAGACACTTTGCCTTCTTCTCTCTTGGATAATTTCCTGACTACACAGGAGATAAACAACCTTTGGGAAGCCCCTATGAAGGATACTCAGGATCTAGAGTTGATGAGAATGTGCAGGTCCAAAAATGTATTTCTTCTACCCTCTTCTTGATTGATAGTTTGACTGGATATAGAATTCTGGTCTATAAATTGAAGGGATTAAAATATGCTTTTTTCTGGCATACTGTCTCAGTTAAATGAACTTAAAACAGTAGGTATAAAAAGATCACTCCAGGCCTGAGGATTTAGCTGAGTGGTTCTGCTGCCTGCCTTGAAAGAGCAAGGTCCCAAGTTTGATCCCCGGTACCAAAGAAAAAAAAAAAGAGATCACTCCAACCTTAATTCTATTTGTTTTGAAAAATGAAAATGAAATTTCCAAGCGAAAGGTGCAACATCCATATCCCCAAGGATGAGAAATCCAACAGAATTCTGCAAAGACTTCATTAAAATAATCTGTATATTTAAGACTCCCCACATAATTTAGTTGGTTATTCAGAACTTACTGCTCTGTTCTCAATTCATTATGTTAGTAAGTGATTGTTTCTTTGGGTCTTCACTTCCTTATGAGGGCTGAACATTTGTGAATAAATTTCTATGTTCTTTTCCTGTGAATCTATTTTATGTCAATTTAATTCTCAGGCACAGTTGTGACCCTAAGTGGATTTTGCCACCCCTACAATATATATTGTCTTTTAACTTTCTGTATTAGTTTCAAGAATCTAATTTGATTTTAATTCCTAAACATCAACACATAAATAGTATGGTTTGAATATGTTCCCCCAAATTTGTGTATTGATCCTTAAGGCAACAACAGTGGAAGGTGGGGCCTAATAAGAGGTCAAGTTCTCTGCCCTGTGAGTGGATCATTATTGCAGGAGTGGGTCAGTTTCACAAGAACAAGATTGTTAAAAGAGAGTCCAGCCCTCTCCAGCACACTTACTTTCATTCCCTCTTGCTCTTTTGCCTTCTTCCAGGGAGTCACGCAGCACAAAGGCCTTCACCTTATGCCAGTGTCAGGCTGTTGGACTTCTCAGCCTCCAGAACTATGTGCCAAATAAACTTCTAGTGCTTATTAATCACCTAGTCTCAGGTATTCTGTTATAGTAGCAGAAAATAGACTAAAATGTAATTTATAATCTCTTTTGACATTTAGAATTTTCTCTTTATCTCTAGTGTCCCAAAATATTTCTGATGATATACCTTGTTTTAGTGTAATGTTTTTCATCTTCTATTTTGCTGGCCAATCTCTCAGACGTTTTGAAAGTTTGTTCCTATAATTCCAGAAAATATCTTTAGCATAGTTTTTTTTTGTTTTTGTTTTTGTTTTTTTTTTGTACTGGGGATTGAACTCGGGTCCTTGTGCTTGCACAGCAGATGGTGAAACCACTGAGCTAAATCCCCGGCCACTCTTTAGCATAGATTTTTAGTAATTTTTTCTTTATTTCCATTGCTCTTTCTTTTTGGGACTCACTGTCACATCTGATGTGGTATCAACTGCTCCTTTAATTTTCTTGCCTTTTTGCACCAATTTTGAAATCTGAAATACTTTGAAATATTTTCTCAACTTTATTTTACAACATTCCCCACTCACTTAACCAAATGTTTAATTTCTGCTTTTACTTTTTACTACCCACAATCTTTTAAAGCAATCTCTTCTTTGTGGGCATATTTTCTTAGGTTCTTTAGAATATTTAAAGACTGTTACCTTTCTTGTTTGTTCAGTTTGTTAGAGTCTTTCTCCAAACATCTGATGATTTGTGAGTAACTGGTTGGAAATTAAATGCCTCTGAGTAGGACATGTTGACTAGTGGGCTTCACTGCATGACAATCTGGTAGAGACCCTGTTGTCTTTCTGATGAACCACAAAAGTGTACTCTATAGCAATTCACTTGGGGGGCACATTAAGTTTCCCAAATAAGAACACTTTAGGATAAAGCCAATTGTTTCAGGCTTCTTTATTGCAGGTCAGGAAATTGAGTGGGACTGGATTACAGGTCTCATTTCCAGTGTACATATCTCTACCTAACATCTTGTTTGCAGTGAAGGGCCTTTATCTTGCCAAAAGAGTATATATAGGTTCTCCAATTTTGAGCCTTGTAATTCATTCTCCCTAGATAGTAAACCTCAAATCCTCAATAAGAGTATAGAGAGGGAGTTTCCCTGAGAAAGAAGATCTGAAGGCCTGATTAATAATATAGATAAAAAATTTCTAACCAATTCTTCTATTTCTATCCCCATCCTACACCTCCTACTTTTCCAAATACTTGTGGTCTCAAATTCCTGAGTCTTTTTCAAGTTCTGCAGGATCGATCTGTTTGCTTTTATCGGCTTCTCATGCAGCAGGCTCATATCTTCAACTTTTCTGTTCAGTTAAGTTAGCTGTTTCTGGTTCCTCCAAGTTGCTGCTTCCAATTTTTAGAAAATTAGTTTGCTATAAACTCATACCCTTATATTCATGTAAATGAATGCCTTTTTAAAAATTCCTTTATGGTCTAGTGACACTTAGAGAGGAAGAACAGTTAAACATAAGTATTTATTCTACCATGTATACCAGAACAATGTCTTTCATTTGATAAAATTTAATTTTTTATTATATTTTGAGATTTTTGTAGGCATGAAGCAGTCTCAAAGAATTATATTGTGAGTGAAAACAGGCATTCTTAAACTTCTGTCTTATTCATTTTCAATATGTAGTAACTAAAAGCACTTTTTTAATAAAATAGTACTAATAATGGTATCTATCTCATAGTAAAAATTACATGAGACAATTTATAGGAACTATCCAGCACATAGTAGGGTGTCAAGTGCTATTATATAGCAACTCTGCTTTTATAGGGCTGAGAAACAAACTTTGTCTTTATACTAAAAAAGTTTATCATACCCAATTTAAGGTCATTTATTTTTAAAAATTGTTCAAGTAACATTTCTGCAACTACATTATATTCACTTTTTTCATTAATCCTCAGGTTGAAGAGAAAATTTACCAGAACATCCAGGCAATTAATGACATTTGGATTTTGCAGTATTGAAGTAGAGGATGGGAAGAACCTGAAGAACAAAAAGGGTACATTGGTAAGTTCTAACTCCAGGAGCCAGAATATTCACCAAGAAGGCTGGGATAGTTATCAGGGTTCAGTTATGGGTTCAGTTATGCACCCCCATTATTCTCCATCTAGATCGTGAAATGAAGTGCCGGTTGTCATTACTCACAAGAGTTAGTTGTAATTTCAACACTTTAGAAAGAATAGTAGACACGGCGTCTCCATTTGGTCATTATCAGAATTCTCTGCCTTCTTAGAGAATTCCTACTTCTGGCATGAAGCAGAATCTATCTCCTGATATAGAAGCTAAACATCTCTGCAACTATCTGTTCCAGTCTGGCTTCCAAGTAAAACAAAGGGACATGTCCTAGGCTCTTGCAAAGAGATATACCCACCCTAGTCTTTGAATTGTGCAATACTGAGGCAAAAAAAGACAAAATGACTGCAAACAACTATCGCTGGTGGCAACAGCAGTCAGGGTGTCCAGGTTCATATGGTTTCGGTGGTAGCTATGCCAGTGCTGGTTCCCAGTATCCAGTGTTCAGCAGTGTAGCCAGACCGGCTGGAATATCTCATTTCTTTTTTTTTCTTTTTTCTTTTTTAATAATAACCATCCCTTTATTTGCTGACTGCCATTACAAAAACTGATTTTAGCAACAAGTGTCTTGAGTTGATGACAGAAGCAGTTACTCCCCCAAAGTGTTAAGTAAAACAGTATACAACATCAGTATTAAAATGTTAAATTTTACATTTTCTTTACCACTTTGATCTTCTGAACAATTGAATTGAGCAAAATAAGGTAAATAAGGTAAAAGATTACCCATTTATTTTTTTCTTCAGGAATATAAAGGCATAATTATTTAAACATTATCACCATGCACTAAACTAAAATTGAAATAGATTAAAGATCTAAATATTAAAACAGAAATGCTGAACTAGTTGGAACAGAGGTTAGGTAGAACTCTTGAAGACACTGGTGTAGGAAAAGATTTTACGAACAAAACCTCAGTTGCTCGTGAACTAGTAAAAACAACAAGTGGGATGTCTTCTTATTAAAAACCTTCTGCACAGCAAGAGAATCCACCAGCAGTGTGAAGAGACAACCTACAATGTGGGAAAAAATCTTCACCTGCTCTTCCTCAGACAAAGGTCTATTATCTAGAATCTATAAAGAACTAAAAAAATCAGGCCTCCCAAATTTAAAGACCCAATCCAAAAATGGACATCTGAAATGAACAGACATTTCTCAGACAAAGAAGTAGAAATAGCAAAGAAACATGAAAAAATGTTCAACATCACTGGTCATTCGAGAGATGCAATGAAAACAACGCTGAGATTCCACTTCACTCCAGAAAGAATGGCTGTGCTCCACTGCTGGTGGGAGTGTAGACTGATGCAACCACTGTGGAAATCAGTATGGAGATACCTCAAAGAACTAGGACTGGAAGTCCCACTTGACCCCGCTATTCCCCTGCTAAGTATCTTCCCCAAAGAATTAAAAGAATCATACCACAGTAATATATGTGCACCCATGTTCATAGCACAATTTGTAATAGCTAAAACTTGGAAGCAGCCCAATTGCCCATCAACTGGAGACTGGATAAAGAAAATGTGGGGTATTTTATAAAATGAAGTACTACTCAGCCATAAAAAATGAGAAATTAGAGACATTTATAAGTAAATGGATGCACATTGAGGTGATACTCTTAAGTGAAATAAATAGGACACACATGTAAATACCAAATAGTTTTTCTAGTGTGAGAAACTGAAAGTGTAAATAAGGACTAAAAGGTATAATAGATAATGTGACATAGGAAGAAAAGGTGCAAAGGGGAAGGGGAAGTGGGAGGGGTAGGGGAAAGGAAAGAAGGGAATGGAATTAATATGAGAAAATGAAAAAATGGAAACAAAGTCTTTGTAAATAGGGAGGGATGGAGGGGTTGAAGGGAGGGCAGGGGAAGGGGAAAAAATAAAAACCAAGAGCGATTATGTAAGGGTGCAAATTTCCAATGATGAATGTCATTATATTGTACACCTAAAATGTACCAACACAATTAATTAAAATAATTACAATTATTTAAACAGTTTTCATTATAAAATGAAACTCTGAAGATGTCTACAGAGTTGACTTCTTTTTAAATTTTTCCATTTAAATCTCATTTCATGCTCAGTGGAAACACCAATCCTGCCCTCACTGGACTAGCTGAGTAATGTGATTTGCCAGGACATTTCCCATGGCTACACCAGCTCTAAGCTAGTTCTCTATTACTCCTATTGATTCCACTAGCTGCCCAGTGTCCTCTTCATTACGCACTCATTTCTGACTTTTTTATTACCCATAACATTTGGAAACTGATAACATAACACTGTAAAATTAGCAAATGTCTTTAAAATTTTTAATATCTAATTTGAATAAAATATGAATTCCAACTTCACTCAATCAAAAAAGTAAAGTTTCTTTTAGAAAAAAGAATGTTGCTGAATCCCAATCTCATAATTCATCATTTAATCATCTCCACTATTGAGATTTCTAATAGGACATTTTATGTTTCTCTTCCATTGTTTCTGATTATTGGAAAGCCCATGCCTCACTTTGCTAAAGGAATTTTGTCCTGTTGCTGTTAGCTTGTTCCTTATAACATTCTTCATCTTCAAATTTGTTTCTGGGGAAATTTCTTCTGGTTCACTAAAAGCTGCTGCTACTTAAAGTATGTTGGGAGCTGAAGAAAAAGTGGAGACCTCATAGTGAATTCCACAAGGACTTCCAGTTTGGATTTATCACAGCCAGACAAAAAGGAGCCATTAGTCATATCTGTCACACTAAGATTAAGAAGCCTAAGGACTCTGTTTTTACTTGCACCCAACACAAGATGAAGGATGCAGGTGGTAAAAGAACTGAAGAGACAGCACCAACTTATTACCAAAAGAGCCCCCAAAACTTAAAAGCTAGTATTTTACTTCTGAAAATGATTTGGTCAGTATTTCTTGTAGAAGAAAGATGTTTCCAAACTAGTATAAAGTTTAAGTTCCATGATGTAGTACATGAGAAACTACAGGGTCATAGGAATAAGCTTTCCTTTCAGCAGGAGATGCTCATGGCCACCTCATCAAATCTTTGAAAATACTATCTTTGTGAAAATAATAGCTCTGTCCTTAGTGTGTTTCACTTTTTAACACTGATTTTTATTTAATTAATCTGGATTATATAGATACAACACAGAGAACTATTTAAATGGGTGACATTATAGTGTAATGCTAAGAAAAATGTTAGCAAGATCCAAGTATGCCTGGCATACATAAGGTACAAATTAAATTTTATGTTTCTTGTCATAAACATACATCTAAAGAACTAAATGACTCATCTCAAGGAATACATTGAGATGAGTGGAGAACTAAATATTATTTAAGACTAATTGTTACCTCTTTCATCAGAAAGCTTTCTCAGTTCTTCCGAGGCTAGGTTGGACTCTTTTTCTTTGTGTTTCTGTAACATACTGTTATCTTTGGGGGGAAAAAGATGTATATTTATCTATTTATGTGTCTGACTTCTCCCTAAGACTGAGAATTTAGGGCTTACCTGTCACAATGACAATGCCTAGTACACAGACTGGACTCAATCACCCTTTAATGACTGACTGAATGTAATCAAGAACTGAGTGTATCACACCCAAGGAGCTGTGCATGGTTAATTTCACTGTGGCACTCATTTATTTCAAAAGGTATAGAGAGTGTTCATCATTCATGGATGGTACCATAGGCCATGCTAGGGAGCTTGGGTTTTATCCTAAGACCAATAATTTTTCTCCAGCAGAATGGAATAATGATCACATTAGTAATTTTGAAAATCTTCTTGGGTTGCAGTACAGAGAAGAAATAAAAGGAGCAGAGAGACTAGTTAGTTGCCTTAATACCTCAGTATTAAGAAAACAGAACCAAGAAAGAAAATAGAACCAATGTGATAAAGTCAATAAGAGAAAGAGATAAATTTCAGAGATATTGAAGAAGCGTATTTGACAGAATTTGGTAACCAAGTAAATATTAGGGGAAGGTGAAATAAAAAATGGCAGTTTCAAGCTTGGGAAACTGAGTGAACAGTAGAGAAAGAAGAGAACATGCCTGTTTAAGAGAAAAGGTTTCCAGTTTAGAGTCATCAAGTTTGAGGAGCATCATAGAGATTCAAGTAAACATATCCACCAGACTGTTGCATATCTACAGCTACAGATCTCAGACTTATCAAACTAAATTCTACTTTCTGTTCGAGAAGTTGAAAATTATGATACTCTGAGATACTATGAAATATCAAAAAACCAAATTTACACATAATACAGATCTAAAACCAAAATAGCTATTGGTAATATTAAAATAATATCCAACATAAAAGGCTCCTAAATACATACATGGGAAAAGGAATATATTTTTCTACCTATCAGCTCATTTTTTTCCATGAAATCCCATAACACCACTATACTAAAAGTGTCAGGATGCTTGACATTACTTTAGAAATGTAATTAAGTTAGTGCATGTTAACTAAAAGAATGTTAGAAGCCGAGAATTACAATGTTATCTGATAATAATCAAGCCAGGCACAAGGACACATGGCTGTAATCCCAGCTACTGTACTTGGAAGGCTGAGGCAGAAGGATTGTAAGTTTGAGGCCTGCCTGGACAACTTAGCAAGATATTACCTCAAAATAAAATTTAAAAAGTGCTGAGGATGTAGCTCAGTGATAGTGTTCTTCTCTAGTATGCTGGAGGACCTAGGTTCAATCCTCATTACTGAAAAATATGAATCATGTAATAAAAGACTATTTAGATATCAGACCATAGAAAAATATGTTGTCAAAAATAACCTAGCAGTGTGACCTACCATTCTTCTTTAAAATCAAATTTGTCAGAAAAAGCTTCTGCAGAAAAATTTGAAGTCTGCAACATTACTAAAAAGGTACCACAATCTTTATTTTCTATAATTGTTTTTTAGGTTTTAATGTGCTTAAACAATTAAAAATA